TCACTATGCCTCTGTTTTCTCCTCTAAGTCAGTGAAGATCTTCCCTTTATCCATTGTGAAATCCAGAAACTTCACAATGATATATCTAGGTGCTTGGTTTTGTTTATTCACACTGCCTAATATACTGCATCCTTTTCAATATGAGTCTAGTGTCTTTCTTCCATTCTGGGAAATGTTACCCTATCTGTGAAATATCTCACCTTTTTTGTTCTTTTTGTCCCATAAGTAGGACATTGTGGCCCCCTTATTTAGATGTACCTCTGCATATGTGGAAACGGATATGGAATGGCACTGCTAGGCCCCCTGCCCTGCACACCACTCTCTCCTGTCCGCTGAGAATGTCCCTCTTCTTTCCCCTTGTTCTCAGTGGACAGCAGTAGTTTGCAATCCTGCTATGCATTAGGATCATTCTGGGATGGGGCTTAGATGTGCATTTTTTAAAAAATGGGTCAAATCTCTGGTCTATCATGTATTAACTATGTGATCCAATTCACTTAACCTTTCTGACCCTTGGTTTCCTTATTTGTGAAATAGAGATACTAATAATGCTTACTTCATATGGCTGGCATGAGGATCAAATGAATAATGTTCATCAAGCACCTTGTTACAATGCTGTGGATGCTCAATAAATTATAATATGGAAGTCAAGTTAACAGCTGAAGTGTACCATGTACCCAGCAATATATCAGCTGCTTTATGTGAATTATTTTATCTTCAGAGCCCTTTAAAATAAGTATATTTATTATTTGTGTAATGCTCTAAGAACTGCTTTCGTTTACCTGTGTTGCACTCCTATCTTTATCCTTTGGTATACATATTTTATCTACATATTAGCATATGTATATTTCTTATCTGGTTTTTAAATGTTATTTACTATTGTTTTTCTGTGTTGTTTATCACATATAATTTTAATAACTACATAATCCCTTTAGTTGCTATTCTATAATTTATTTAACCATTCGACTATGGCTGGACATCTTCAGGCATAGAACCTATTTTACTTCGAAGCTCTTGATGTATACGGTCAAATTGCCCTCCAAAGGCTGTGCCATTTTATTGTAACATGGGGTAATTTTTGACCTGATTGTGTTATTTTCTAAATTCTCTGTTTAATGGAATGGGGGTTGCATGAAACGTTCCTTAAGAAATTAGAAAAATGGCAGTAAATGGCAGTGATTCAGTCAGTCAAGCAACCAATCAATTAAAAAAGCATTTAGATAATGGACTAGGAATTGTATATAAGACAAATCCAAAGTTACAGTGTGACTAAGAAACAGTAACAGTGACAATGAAAAAAAAACCCCTCTCTAATCTATAAAAGGACCTATAATACAGATTTTAAAGCAGTCAATTCAGATCTCTCTGCATTGCAATAGTTGCATTACCCACAAGCCTCTAGTGAGCAGGGTGGGATGTGTGGAAAGAGGAGACTTCTTGCTCCCTTGTCTTCCTTAAAAGTCAGGGCCAGTCCTGGATAAAAGTTTTACATAGGAGAGGTTTGCATGGGCAGCCAGTTCCTTCCTACAGAGACCTTGTACTGTGTGCTGTCTACTACCTGTTGTGTCCCCCGGAAGCCACCTCATGTCACATGATATAAGCTGGAGACAATCAAGATGCTGGTAGAGACAATCCTTGTTCTGCTGGGGCTGTCAAGCCGGAAAGCTGGGAAGTTGGAGCTGCTGGTGACCATCTTCCCAGCTGTATGGAGGGAGCCAGTTGCAGGAAGAGAAAATGAGGAACAAAGAGAAGAAAGCAAAACCAACAGATGATGAGAGTGGGAAGGAGGAGAGAAAAAGTATGTGAGTGTGACAGTGAGAAAACAGCTTTCACTAATACATAGGGAGCCTGTACTTTGCCTGTGCGGTGAGACATTTTGGGATTCAAATGTCTCACTTGACATGTGTGACTTCAATCAGGCAATTTTGGACAACAGGCTGAGAGCCACGCCACACACATAGATGCTTCTTTTTGAACCAAGGCCCACGCCTTCACCCGTGTCTTGGATGGCATTCCCTCCTGCATTCTCAGAACCATGTATGATTGATCTCTCTCCTGGGTGTCGCTCACCTGTGCTAAACGGACCCTCTTTCTGGTGATTCCATCTTCCTCCTCAGCTCTCGCTCTCCTTCCCAATGCAGGCAAAGCTCTTGAAAGAGTGTCTATATTTATTCTCTCTACTGCTTTATTTTTCACCTTACCCTACTCCAACAGGCTTCCACTCCCACCCCACTATCGAAACTGCTCAAAGATTTCTAAGGACCTGTCCATTGCCAGCTGCACCTGGCATTCTTTAGTCTTTGCCTACTTAACCTCTTAGCATCATTTGACTTAGCTGATGAGTCCTCCCTGCTTGAAAACTTTTTGGTTGGTTTCCACAATGCCTGGATTTTCTCTTACCTCCCTGGCTGCTGCCTTTCAATCCCCTTGCCTGCTCCTCCTCCACCCATAAATGTTGGAGTTGCTGGAGAGCTCTATCCTGGGCCCTCTTCTCAAGCTATACTCCCCTCCTATCTTTTCCCACAATAGGGTCTCATCCACTCTTCTAGCTTTTATTACTATCTGTACACCAGTGGCTCCTAAATTTGTGTCTTTGGCTCAGATGGCTCCTCTGAGGGTCACAATCACATAGCCAATTGCCTATTTCAGATTTCCACTTATATGTGTTAAAAGTATATCAAACTTGACAAGTTTTGAACTCTTCATCAACCTCCACAAATCTCCTTTTCCCATGTTTCTTAACTCCCTAATGGCTCCCCAATCCACACAGTTGCTCAGCCAGATTCTGCAAGTCATCCTTGATACTTTCCTCTTCCTCATTCCCTCCAATCCATCACCAAGACCTACCAATTCTGCCTCCCAAATGCTGCTCAAATTAACCTATTTATCTTCATCTCCATCACCACCATCCAAGTCTCAGCCACCATCTTCTCTCCTCTGGACTTTGGCAATAGCCTCTTAACTGGTCTCCCCACGCTCATGCTGTTCCTCCCATCCATTCTCTGTACAGCTCCAGAGAAAGATTTTAAAACACAAATCTCATTGTGTCCTGGCTCTGCTTAACAACCTTCAGAAGCTTCCAGTAGCCCCTAGATAATATGAAAAGACTTTCCCACGATCTACCAGTCTGGTCAGTGTGACCACCTTTTCAGGCTCATTTCAGCCACTCTCCTCTCACCTTCCTTGGCTCTAGCCACAGAGAGTCCTTTCTGTTCCCAGACGGGTCAAACCATCCCTTTTCTCAGGAATCCTGAATCAGCAGATCCCTTTGCTGTTTGCTTCTTTGGGGGATGCTTCCCGGCCACCCATCCAGGTTGCACCATCCCCTAGCACCTTGGGCTTTTCCTCACTGCACCCTCTGCATGTGTCACCTTCTATTTGTCGCTTCTCCTCCCGGCGGGGCTGTGAGCCCCAGGAGGGCAGGCACCCTGGCTGTCCTGCCCACCCTGGGGCCTGACTGGCACTGACTGATAGGGTGAAGAAGCAGTGTCTGGTGTCCCTCACTTCCCAATCCCAGGGCAACTGTGTAGCCACCCACCATTTGGAGACTGTCTAATTATGGTGCTAAAGCCCAAGAGCAGCAAATCCTTTAGTGATTCTTAAAGCCAGAGTTCAGCTCTTCGGAGGAGAGGGTGACAGAGTTGACCCAAATTTGACCTCCACCCTGGAGCACTGGGGCCAGGCCGGAGCCCCCTGGATGTTTGGGAGCATGCTTTACAAGCCCTGCCTAAAGCTAGGGTGTCATTAGAGTGGGGACCTGCATCCCTGTCCTGCTCTGGTCTCTAAGGAAGTTTTGGAGTTTTTAAGACAGGCTCTTTCCCACCGGGCCCATTGTTCTTACTTGTTTTCATTCTACTGTGTGCGGTTGTTACTGGGGAGGCCTTCACTCATGTGAAATTGTTGCCAACTTACTCAGTAAGAAAGTCCTGAACAGGGCCCTGGAAGAGAGGCCTAGAAAGATGAACCCGCTCAAAGGGAACCTGTATAGCAAGACAGAAGTAATTAAGTATCTGAAGAACGGCCTAGGCTTTATGGGAAGCAAATTGGTTGTGGCTGGCCCTCAGGGAGCAAGCTTTGCCATAGAACACGGTAGACTGCAAGGTCCTCTCAGGGCACAAAAACTGTAGGAGCCACGGGGCGGGAGGCATCAGAAGGCTGCCCACTCTGACTGAAGAACACAACAACAACCTGGAGTGTTGCTAGAAGAGGCGATTTCTTCCGTGTATGAGTGTCAGGGACAGTGTGTGTGTGCACATTTTCTGCCCTTGCCATGCAGGGCTGGGTGGACCAGGAACCACCCGCAGAGGAAGAGACTTATTACGTCTTGGCCACGTCGGTCCCCTGAAGAACCGACCTTTCCAGCTCTTTATGCAACAAGACACACCTCTCTGAGGAAGGAGGCGGACAGGATTTCCATCAGTACTAGTGCCCTATTATTAATAAAACCACACACGCACACACACACACACACAACTGTGTAATTACCCTCCGCAGGAAAGGCGCAAAACAGGATGCGCTCCAACTGACCCCGGGATGAGGCATCCCCGTAAAGATCAGGAAAAAGAACCTCCCCGCCGCGCGCCCGCCTGCGGCCAGGGCCTCTCCCAGACGTCCAGGCAGGGTCAGCAGCCCACCGCGGCGGCTGGGAGAGAGGGTGCGGGCGCCTCTTAGCCGCGCGGGTTCTTTGCTGCTCTTCCTCCTCAGCATCCTCCCCTCCTTCCAGCACCCGCGCCCCCAGCCCCCCAGGCCAATTTCCCATGCCTCAGGTGTTTGCTAGGGCTGGGCCACGAACCCTTCCCTTTCTTGACAGCGCCTGGGGTAGCGCACGGCCAGACCCCCCCCGCAGGGCGGTGCAGGCGGGAGGGCGCGCGGGCACCCACGCCACGCAGGGCCGGCCTGCGGGCCGCGCGCCACGCCCCCGGGGTCCGGAAGGCGCGGGAGCCGGCGCGGGGTTTTGAGAACTTGGAGCCTGGCGGCGCGAGGTTCTCGCCCGGGATGCGGCGGCAGCTGCTTCCTGGTTCGAAGCTCGCCGAGGGGGGGAGAGCGTGAGCCCGCGGAGGCGGGGGCAGGAGGAGAGGCAGGAGGAGGCGGGGGAAGAGACGCTTGGGGCTGGAGCTAACCGGACGGGTCGCGCCGGCTCTCCGGGGAGAGGAGCTACCTGGCCCTGCAGAAGGGGCGAGTCCGGCGCGAGCCCCCGGGAAGCGCCGTGCGCTCCAAGGGGACGATCAGGCTTCCCCGGCCCGCAGAGGGCTCGGCGCCGGGCTCCCCTCCTTTCCACCTCGGGAGGAAGGGAAGGAGGGGAGGGGAAGGTCCCACAGAGGAGGCAGAATGGCCGGTCGAGGGGGGCTTGGGCGCTGCTTTTCCCCGGAGCTGCCTCGACTCCTGCGGCTGCCGCGAGGGCTGGCCTGAGCCGGGACTCCCCGCTCTCCCGCCGCAAGTCAGCGCGGCCCCCCGGGGCCGGGGCAGCGGCGCCGGCATGTCGTCTGGCACTATGAAGTTCAATGGCTATTTGAGGGTCCGCATCGGCGAAGCCGTGGGGCTGCAGCCCACACGCTGGTCCCTGCGCCACTCGCTCTTCAAGAAGGGCCACCAGCTGCTGGACCCCTACCTGACGGTGAGCGTGGACCAGGTGCGCGTGGGCCAGACTAGCACCAAGCAGAAGACCAACAAACCCACGTACAATGAGGAGTTCTGCGCTAACGTCACCGACGGCGGCCACCTTGAGCTGGCCGTTTTCCACGAGACGCCCCTGGGCTACGACCACTTCGTGGCCAACTGTACCCTGCAATTCCAGGAGCTGCTGCGCACGGCCGGCGCCTCGGACACCTTCGAGGGCTGGGTAAGTAGCAATGATCCCTCCCCCTTGTGTCCCCTTAACCCCTTCTCCCCTTCCAGTTTTCAAAACTCGCCCTGGTCCCGCTTTCCATCGCTCGTGGCTGAGGGAATTCCCTCCAGACTTTGGTCCTCGCCCAGGTGGCCGCGGAACCAGTGACGTGACCGCGGTGGGTGTGTGCAGGCGCAGGTGTGTCTCCGGGAAGCCAGCCTGGACACGATCCCCTTTCGGGACGGCGGCTCAGGCTAACGGGAAGGCGGGCAGGGGTCCAGGGCCGTCTCCCCACTCCACGCAGACTTTGCGGAAGGCTCCCCAACTCTCAGCACGCGCGTAATACTCAGGAAAGGCAAAGAAGGGGTGATGTGAAAGTGACTTTATTTGAGTAAGGTGCTTCAAGCGCTGCTTAGGAGAAAGCCGTACATTCTCGCGAGTATTATTCATAATATTTATGGATACGTGTTGGTTCAGCCTTTCAGACGTGCACACGTGTTTCGGCTTGCACATCCATTACATCCCAGAGGTACCTGAGCTACATTGGCAGGGATCAAAGTGCCTGGTCTGCATGTTGGCAAAGTTGTATTATTTAGCAGTTTTCCAAGGAGATGAAATTTACATATGTTTGCAAGTAACCAGTCAATCTGAGATGTGTGGGTCCTGCAATAGACGTTTCTGCTGCTATTAATCTGTGAACAGGCTGTGAGAGCTCCTCAGTAGATTGTTTACTGCCCTCCCTCCCCCCAGCACCTGCTGGTGTTGCTGTGTATTGACATGTAGCTACCCTTCTCACTTACCTCTGCTTCTCACATAGTTCCCATGAGGCAGAATTTCTGCTGTAAATAAATGAAAATTTGTAGAGCACTCCACACAGTGCTAAAATGCTTTTACTGCTTAATCCTCACACTGTCTTTGTGATACAGGTGTTGTTCGCACTCCTAGATGATGAAATGATAATTATAATAAAGTGGTCTGGGTTGACAAAATGGAGTATGCTGGTTGAAGACTCTCAGGAGTCTAAGTGCTTAAAGTCTAGAGGGAGTCAGTTTTGAACCCAGAATGTGAATGGGCATTGAACATCTATTTGAAATTGACAAGTGGTGGTGAATCATAGGGATAACAATGAAGACTCATTTAGGTATTTATTTTATATTGGGAAATTGGTAATTTTACCATGTATTCTCTAAAATTACAGATGGCTTGTGGATGTATCCCTTTCTTTTAAATAGAAGTAAAACACCATAATGACTGTTTAACGTTAATCATCAAATTATATTGAGTTAATTTCCCTTCAGCCTAACTTACTTTGTGGAACTTAGAAGTGGATTAGAGAGGAATGACTAAAATATGGTTAGAGATTTACATGTATCCTGTGAATTCTGGATATGAAATAGAAATGAATGTAGGAATCCGAATGGAATTATTGAATTCCATCAGTGTTTGATTAGGAGTTAGGTTGGGCAAAGCTCTAGAGGAACTAGGTTCCGAAGTATGGTGCTGCAGATTGGCAGTGACCATGAGAAACGTCTCTTCCTGCAGAAAGCCTAGATTGGTCCTTCTCACCCCTAGTCTGCACATTTGAATTACCTGAAGAGCTTTTAATAATCCCCACTTTTAACGACTCTAAATAGGAATCTCTGGCTGTGGGACCCCATCATCAGTACGTTGAGGCTCCCCAGGTGATTCCAATGTACAGTCAAGGTTAAGAACCTGTGGCCTAAATGAAGACCCAGAGATGAGGATTACTTGGTGTCCAAGAAGCATAAATATAGGAAGATCCAGGTTATCTAAGTGAATTGCAACAGAGCTGCTTATTCCACTGGATGAATAAATATAAATTAAATTTCTGTGTTTATATTTATAATTATCTGACATAATTATACTTAAATGTTTAATATAACTCACTGATGGTGTTTTGGAAAACATGAATTTTTGGTAGGGTAGGGTGAGCATTTAAATGACCTTGAAACCAATGATTTGTCATGCGTTTATATTCAATTAGAAGGCAGAGGTTTTTTTTTTTTAAGGTTCTGGGTATTTTGAAACTGTGAGGATAGAATAGATAGAATTGGCGGAGTGTTTTTTCTTTTTTTTCTTTCCGTTAAGAAAATAATCTTGTTGAGAAAATATTTGGAAATATATGGCATGCTTATTTTTTAAATTATCCTTTTCAGATCCAAAGTTGCTTTTGAAATTCAGGATTACAGAAATATTTATCTTTGGTATATTAAATTGAAATGTGTATTCACACACAAGTAGAGTAGTTGAATTTGTTCCACAAGGAATTTATGTGTGTTGCAAGTGGAACTACAGATTGCTGACTTTTAGAAAACCTAGCAACTTAGTTTTTGCTAGATCACGAGAAGATCTAACTGTAGGTTTACCTGTAAAACAGAAGACACTTTTATCATAAGAATAAAACAGAAAGTTTTATGGAAAACCTACAGTTATCATCCTAGTGATGAAGGAAGGAATAATATTCCTCTAAGATGTGGAACAAGGCAAGGATGTCTGCTCTTTCTGTTTCAATTCAACACTGTATTGGAGGTCCTGGTCAGGGCAATAAGGCAATTTCAAAAAACAAAATGCATACAGGTTACAAAGGAAGAAGTAAAATTGTCTTTATTTGCAGACAAATGATTCTAGAAAATTCTAAGATGTCTACAAAAATGCTTTTAGAACCAGCAAATGAGTTTAGCTAGGTTGTAGAATCCAAATCAATATATAAAAATCAATTATGTTTTTATATACTAGCAGTGAACAATTGAAAACTGAAATTTAAAAATATTTATAGGAGTATAAAAATATGAAATTGGACAAATTTGATAAACGCAATATTTTTTCACAGGAAATGACAAAACATTGCTGAGATAAAGATCTAAATAAATGGAGAGATACTCTGTGTTCATGGATGGGAAGATTCAATGTCGTTAAGATCTCTGTACTTGCTGAAGTGTTCAATAGATTTAATGCAATTCCAATCAAAATCTCAGTAGACTTTGTTGTAGAAAATGACAAATTGAGTATAAAATTTCTATGGAAATGTAAAGGACATAGACTGATCTAAGAATAATTTTGAAAAAGAACAAGTTGAGGGACTTATACTATTTGATTTCAAGGCTAACTGTAACACTACCATAATCGAGATAATGTGGTATTAGAGTAAAGAGAGAGTCATTAGATCAGTGGAACAGAAGAGAGTCTAGAAATAGATATATATGACCAATTGATTTTTGACAAAGGTGCCAAGAAAGCAGTTCAGTGGGGCAGATGATAATCTTTTCAACAAGGTGCTTGAACAACTGCGTAGCCATTTGCAAAAATAAGCCTTGACCCTTACCTCACGCCATACAAAAAATTAATTCAGAATGAATTATAGACCTAAATGTAAAAGTTTAACTGTGAAAGTTCTATTAGAAAACATAGAAGAAAATCTTAGTGACCCTGGGTTCAGCAAATTTTTTTAGATAGGACACAAAAAGCCTTAACTATAAAGATTAATAAATTGGACTTTATGAATTAAAAACCTCCTTTTGTTTCTCAAAGAATGCTTAAGAAAGTGAAAACACAAGCCACACAGTAGGAGAAAATACTTGCAACATGCAAATCAGACAATGAACTTGTAACACGAAGACATAAAAGAACTCTTATAACCCAATAATAATGAGAAAAATACCCAATTTAAAAATCCGTCAGGCCAGGCGCAGTGGCTCACGCATGTAATCCTAGCACCCTGGGAAGCCAAGGTGGGCGAATCATTTGAGCTCAGGAGTTGGAGACCAGCCTGAGCAAGAGGGAGACCCCGTCTTTACTAAAAAAAATAGAAAGAAATTAGCTGGACAACTAAAAATATATATATATTAAAAAAATTAGCCGGGCATGGTGGCG